AGAAAGAGGGGAACAGCAAGACCGAATGTGTTTACTCCAGTGTGAAGCAGTAGGACTTGTCCGAAATCTTCATGGTCCATAAGATGTAAAGTACATAGACTCTCAAGTGTAGTGTCAGGTGGACATTATGTTATCCTTGTGATAACACTGTTTTCTATCCACAACAGTGCACAATTTCTCTGTCAGAAGATCGATCGATCGATAGATAGATAGATAGATAGATAGATAGATAGATAGATAGATAGATAGTGACAGAAAGTGCAGAAAGTGGCATTACAGGACTAGTTTCAACATTGCTGTGTATATAATGAATTTTCATGTCTATATTTTGTCAGAAAATAAAAATTGAAACCCCTGTTGCTTGATTTGCACACCCCTTCTGCAGCTTTGAAAATGTAGGCTTCTTTTTTGTTTTTCAGAGTGTGTCCACTGTTCACTGGAGAATATATATATATATATAGTTAACAATATTTATTTTGTATTATGACTTTGTTTTGTATTATGACTTTAGATGAAGATGAACACTGAATAAGAGTTATTCAATCTTACAACTAAAAACCATTAATTTTAAGATAATAGAGTCAACAAAAGAAAGTTGTGATGTAGAGTGGCTCGTGTGCTTTAGTGCAGAGCACAGTCACCATCAAAGGTCATTTTTGTGGTGCAAGTTTGTCTGACTCTCCCTTTGTTCTTTGTTGCAACGTCCTAAAACTTAGAGTGTGAAATGCTGTGTTTGGTTAGCACTGCTCATTATGGCATTACTTTGCTCTTGTCATTGGGCCTTACTTGCTGGTATTTGTATGAAATCGATACAAATATCGCTTGCAAATTAACCTGCAAAAAGTGAGCTTGCATGTAAAATTATAGTTGGATTTCTGAAATATGTGCACCATCCTATTCTGTACTAGAGCACATCTTGCTATAGTACAGGTAAAGTAATTCATAAAATATTTTTCCTTTATTATTTTTCAATGAAAACTGACACAGTAACATTTATATATATGTTTACTGTAAAATTCTGATCTTATATTTGAGTGGGACGAGCCAGCCGGGTCATGTTAGGCTGACCTGTAACATCATCAAGTACATTCGTGTTCAAATTGTACAAAAATCGTGCTACGTTCTCAGGAAGTCCGGACTCCTGTGTGAACTTATGAAGTCTGCGAGAACATGAGCACAGAGTTGCGTACATGAGTATTGAAAAAATGGCCCTTAATAGAGTGGGGTTACATGCGGTGATGCTAGCATTAGCCATGTTAGCACGTTAGCTTCAACAGGTGGTCAGGCTGAGTCCACAGGCGCGCACTCGGAGGTTTAGCTCTCTGTTTCACTGCAGGGTCCCTTTCCTTCTTCACCTACCTCAATCACATATCTCTATTAAATCTTTGTCAGGCAGAGTGTAAAGTGGCATTTCATGGCTGAATGGCCTTTGTACAAGCACACGCACTTCTTAGCAGAGCAAAGCTATGAGCACAAACAGCAGTGTAGAAAAATCCAGGCAACAAGTCTGTGTCTGTCCAACCAATCTCAGAGCTCCTTACATTGCGCTGTGTGGCTAATTTGCATTGCTTTAGGATCTCATAAATGAGATAAAAAAAATCTAAAATCTAATCTGAAAGCTAATCCAGAAGGTAATCCAATAGTTAATCCCAAAGCTAGTCTATTTGCTAAAATAATAGCTAAGATGTGAGCTAACAGGAAAGGAACATGGATTTTGAAATGAGGAGTGGAATCGCCATTGGCCATTGGAATCGTTAGAAATAATCCTTAGATTTTTTAATCTGTTTACTTATTTCTCTATATAAATTGTGTTTTTAAAAAGATTTTGAAAATCAGTTTTTTAATTTGGAAATTGAAAATGATTTTTGAAATGAGATTTTTCTTGCGAGCTGGATTTGAACTATTTATTAATGGATTGAAAAGCCATTTTAAAATATTGACTTAAAAATAGTGTTTTTAAATTACATTATTAACTAAGAAATTACTTTAGTAAGGTTTACAATTGCATAATTTATTGTACAATTCATTATTTAAGCAGATAATTCTTTATTTCTATGCATGTGTCAGGGTTTCTGGGTCCTTGACCCAGTATTTTCAGTTCACGTTCACTGTTTATCTACTGCCTGTTCCACTTCCTGTTTTATTGTGTTAGCCTTGGTCTGTGTGCATTATGTTCAGTCCTCTTCCCATTTATCATTAGTTCATTATGTTCAGCTGTTCACTCACCTGTCTCCAATCGTTGTCATTGTTAGTCATGTATTTAAGCCCTCTCTTCCCTTCAGCCCTTGTCGTGTCATTGATGTTATGTTGTCGTTTCCGCCTGCGTTCAGTCAGCTAGCCATTCAGTCCTTTCTTCATTCAGTCAGCCGTCCAGCCAGCCATTTCCTACCTCTGTTCTGTTTGTTCACTCCATCGGCAATAAACACCCACCTTCACCTACCTACCTGTGAGTCCAGCGTTTGGGTCCTCCTCCTCTCATCCACGACACAAATCCTGACAGCATGCGGCTCTTGTGGTCCTCCATACCACAGTGGTTTATTGCTGTAAGGTTTTGAGGTCAAATTTAAAAGGTCTAATTGACTTATAATCAAATCCACGTCTTTAAGGATCACATTGTCATCACATTGTCTGGAAATCAATAATAGTTATGATGTCTAACGTGTGTCAACTATAACGTGAGGTATTATTTCCTGTCCTAAAGCAGTGTTTCTGAGGTGTCACAGATCAATTATGGTTCCTTTTGTGCCACAACTAGAACTATGGAGATACCAAAAGCCCATGTTTGTATATGTAATGAGCTTTGTGAGTTGCAAATTCACCGTTAGTTATTATGTTATAGATGTAGAATTGGCGTGACATTGTACTGATATATTCTTTACACTCTTTATTGTCCATGATTGGGCTTCTGTGAGTAGGATTTTCTTCTAGTGAATAGAGTTCTTTGTACATTTTCCTATTTGTTGGTATCCATCACACCAACCCTCTGCATCCCTTCTTCACCATATTGATTAATTATCTTCCAGGTCTTCCTGACTTTGTCACGCCTGTCGGCTTGACAAAAGCCGACAGACAAAACTGAGACATAACCGTCTCAGTTTTGTCTAACTTATTTGAACTGTCCCTCCGATGTTTTCATTTCTAATCTTGTCCATCTTGGTCATTCCCAATGTAAAAAGGTGAATCTCGAGTTTAGCCAACACAATCCCCCCGCCCAACTCAATTACTCAAACACCAAAACCATAGTAAACCCAAAGACTAACAAAACATTTACTTGCATATATTACATAGTGTGTTACCAGTGGTGGCCAACCACTTTCAGATAGCTTGCATCTGTTATTCTTATTTTCTGACCTAAACCATGCAGTGTCTTCCTCAGACATAAGCAACAGATAACTGTTGTTATATAAATATTGTTGTTCATGTTCAGGTTATGTAAATATTGTCTAGAGTTTGTGGTTGAGTGGTGTTGAATGACCTCATGATGTTATTATACTTAGAAGTTCTAAGTTCCAGAGTATCCAGAGTCATATGGAGAGAGAATATAGCACTGTTCACAACATCACTGACCTCTGTGGGAGTAAAGTTTAGGTAGCTGCTCTCTATTGTGTTGGCACATGGCATTGAAGAAGTGGAAGAATTATATCCTTAAATCTACTTACAGCACTTTCAGAAATATATCTACTCTAATGAAAGTTATTCCCCACTGCTGTGTAGCCTATTTTTGTAAGTTTCAATGTTATTAAGCAATGGTCTGACTTTTTAGGGGATACTGTTAAGTGCTTGGTTTCTACACCATATAGCACAAGATGCAGAATATGATTAAAGCGGTGGGTGGGCTCATTTACATTTTGAGTCTAGCTAATTAAATGCAGTGTTTAGGCTGTTGTTTTCAGCATCTACGTGAATGGTAAAATCACTCACTATCATATTTTTGTATTAAGTCAGCAGTTCGGAAAGACTCAAACTGGTCAGTCAGGGCTCAACCACCGTGTCAGATATCTTCTTTGCTTTTTTCCTATGGACGGTTCATTTGTTCCTCCATGCCTGAAAATCAATGGATTAGAGATGGGGGCAATCCCTGGTCCACATACTCAAATGAAAAACGGGCCTTTAGAATTTTTAAGAAAAATGTGTACAAAGAGTTGATTGATCAGTGCTGTTTCTTTATTTATAAACAGTTTCATTTTTCTTTTTTGCCTCAATCATGAAGTCTAACACTATTGGCTGCTCTGAACATGTGATCATCTTTCCTTAACAAAAGACATACTGTGACACTTCTGCTTGGCCAATCACACACAGTCTTCTCTAACAAGAGTGGAGACGGGTTTGAGATTCTTTTCATTCAGCAGGATTATTTAAAGACAATGACACCTGCGAAGTTTGTCTTTTGTCTAACATGTTTGCTCTTAGGGGAAATGGGTGAGTTTATGGTTTTGAAACTGCAGTCTGAATATATTTCCATGCTTTTAAGGGTCTATAAAATGTATTTGCTCTGTCTTTTATTTTACTTCAGCTCAGGTGAACAACCAGGAGTTCTTCTCGTCTGGTCGTCAAGAAAGACGTTTCATATCAGTTAGAACTGGGGACAGCGTGATTTTGCATTGTTCTAGTAAAAATGGTGTAACTCCACGGTTTTACTGGTATAAGCAAACATTGGCAGAGAAACCAAGACTCATTTCTACCTTCTATGTATATGAACAAAATGCCACATTTCACAGTGAATTCAAGAGTGATCCACGCTTCACCCTGGATACTCAAACAGGTCAAAACAACTTAATAATCTCAGATGTGCGCATTTCAGACTCAGCAACTTACTACTGTATATGTTCCTATTTACACACATCAACATTTTCAGAGAGCATTACTGTTGGTGTTAAAGATTCAGACTTGAACATCAAGGCTGTGGTCCAACAATCAGCTTCTGAGACCATCCAGCCAGGAAGCTCTGTGACTCTGAACTGTACAGTACACACTGGGACTTGTGATGGAGAACACAGTATATACTGGTTCAAAGACTCTGAAGAATCTCATCCAAGACTCATTTACACCCATGGCGGCAGGAATGATCAGTGTGAGAGGAAACCCAACAGAAGAACACACACCTGTGTCTCTAACTTGACAATGGAAAGCCTGAATGTGTCTCATGCTGGGATCTACTACTGTGCTGTCGCCTCATGTGGACACATACTGTTTGGAGGAGGAACCACGCTGGTGTTTGGAGGTAAGTAGCAGTATAGAACCCATATCTGTGACTGTTATTTTATTATCTATCTGAAAAGAAAACCTAAAATATAGAGAAGTCTGTGCTCAGAATACTTGGCTCTTCACAGATGAGGCAAAATCTCTTGTCTTGGTGTACGTCTTGAGTGGAGCATTGACTTTTACCTCCACCCTGGTTTTTTTACTGGCTTTTCTTCTCTACAAGATGAGCAAAAGAAACCACTTCAAATCAGGTACTGGAAAAAAGTGCTGCATTTGACAGTTTTTATTCACTGATTTGGACTTTTAAGTGAGACTGCTGTTTTTGTATTTTACATTCAGGCCATCAACAAGCAAGACTTTCAACTACCTCTGCAGAGGTACGTTTCATCTGTTCAGATTAACGTAATATTGAAAAATAGTTTAGCACATATTGCTTTGAAATATTTTTTTCCAGAAACTGCAATTTGATCTACCTCTCAAATTTGTTTTTACCAGGGTAGCCATGATGCAGACAACCTCCACTACGCTGCTTTAAGCATTAACCTGCCCAACAGATTGAAAAGACAGAGGAAAACTCAGAATGAATGTGTTTACTCTAGTGTCAAGCAGTAGGTTACATTTTTTCCACTCTAGTGAGACAAAAAATCCACACTGTCATGGGGTTTGTGTTTTTGGTTTAAGTTATACTCTGTGGATTATGGTTTTCTGTTTGTAATATATTTATAGTTGCTGGTTTCTAGGTTTCTGTTCTGTTTCTGTGCCTCCTCTTTGTTCTTGGTAAAGGTTTAATTCTGTTCTCAGTGAGTTGTATGCTTAGTCTTAGTTTCTGTCTTTATGTCGTCCCTGTGTTCCACGTCTAGTTACTTTTGTCTCTGTGCTTAAGATTCCCTCTGTTCCAGAGTCTGTCAAGTCTGCATCTTCGCGGATCTTTCATGTGTTAGGCTTTGTCCTCTCTATTTTTGGTAATTCCACGCCGGTGGAAACCCAAACAAAACACGCGTTAAGAGGCTCTAATGCGGCCCATGTCACCCCTACTTGCGGCCCACATAATGACGTGACGAAATACTTTTAAAAAATATTGTTCAAAAATTTATTAATATGGAGGCAATATGCAGAGTGTTACAGGCATAGCCCTAAAGAATGCCCGTCATAGGCCCAGTTGTAAGTAAAAGCTATTAAGACTCGACTGTACACTGTGTTCGTGTTTTCCTCCGAAGCAATAAGTTCTGTTGAAGCAGCCTTTAAACTCCTCTCTCTGTCTCTCACTAGCAAAGTTGACCCAGACAACAAAGTAAAGCTAGTTTTCAGCTACGAGCCTGACACGAACCTGACGTATTAACCAGAGGTCCCTTTACCACAGTTCGGGGCCGCAGACCTGTTTTATATACGCGTGAAACAGTTTTCTATACGAAATCGCTGCAAAAAGTGCAGCCTTACCTAATGCCCACCCTACGGTTATTCATTTTATATTAAGATTTAAAAATCCAGTTGTTATTGGTATGGCGAATAATCTTCAGTAATATTAATAAATTACACAGCAATAGTACATTCATGTAGTTGTAAAAAGCATCATAATATATTAACTAATCAGAATACGTTACTCTCATTGAGTAATGTAACGGAATACGTTACAAAATACATTTTGGGGCATGTATTCTGTAATCTGTAGTGGAATACATTTTAAAAGTAACCTTCCCAACACTGTTCTTAATAAACAATAGTACACATGCATGCCTGGATAAAGACAAACAAGTGAGATGTTAGGTTAGGATGCTTTTATTCTTATTTTAGTAAACATTCAAAACCTACAATACACAGCTGGTGTTTGGAAGAGAATAGAACAAATATTTCAAATATAATTGGACCGTTTTTGGAGCAGCCTTCCAGATCTCCACGTAGTAACATGCTTTTTTTAGACTTGAGTGTTTTCCCACCTGTTCCCCATCCTCTTGTTTTCCTGCCCATGTATTTAAGCCCCGTGTAGTCCTCTGTTGCTGGTTTGTCTGCTTGTCATCCTCTCTGTTCATTTGCGTTGTTCCCTCTGTGGGTTAGGTTTTTTCTAGTTCTTTGTCTCAGGTTACATGTTTCTTGTTAGCTTTCCCAGTTTAGGTCTTTCTTAGTTTAAGTCACTGCCATTCTCTACTTTTCTTTGTACTTCATCCACACTGAAAATAAAGCTCACTCAGTGTATGCCAGTTATCAGTTCCTGCACTTGGGGCCTTCCCTCATCATTCTACATGTCTGCTACTGCAGCCGTGACACATACATTCATTAGATGTTGACATCCAAATTGTGTGCACAATAAAGTTTACTGCGTTTTTCAGTCTTTAACAATGTGTAATATGATCTGGAGCTTTTGTGTTTCTTTTTTTAAATAAACCTGTAGTTATGTTGTTGTATATTATAGTCACCTCTTTCTATTTTGTAATCAATATTCTTGAACTCACTTAAAGAAAATGATGTGTGGTTGTTGTTGAGTCTGCGCTTCCACAGGCTCTGCTAGTTTAGAGACTTATTCCTCATGAAGAACGAAAATAAGACAGAACATCTTCAACCGGTCTTTTACTCGCTAGCGAGGGAGAGCTTGGTCAGAGCCAGGCTGTGGAGCTAAACGCTCCTCACCTGTGTCCAAACCAAGTCCTTCAAAGAGCAGCTCTCCTCGTAGCCTTTTTATTGACAAACTGTTACAATACACAACACAACACAAGCACCTCCCACCGTAAAACCCCCTTGGTGTGTGTGTATGCATGTGCAAGA